AAAAAAAAAAAAAAAGCCACATCTTTTCCAAGTAGGCTGTGGTACACATTTCCATACAGACAAATACAATGCAGCACAGAAGGCAAAGAGCTTTTGAACAACCTTTTGAAACAACTTCCTTTTGCAAGCTACTAGACCACTATAGTTACTATTTAGTTTATCCACAAGTAAAAAAATGAGTGCAGATATAGTACTCAAACCCTCTAAAGACACATTACTCAGTTTAGGAAGCACTGTGATCCTTTCACTAGGCAGACCTATGTGTAAGTTGCTTAAGACAAACACACCCCTGGGATAAATTCTTTCCTCCAGCATTCAAATGCTACACCAGTTTGTTCACGGTTCTGTATTACTTAACAAAACAAAGGACACAGGGAAAAGGTCTAAGCTGTATTCTAGAAATATAAAGACATCCAGAAAGCTAATATGTTCTCTCACACTTGAATTACTTCTCTCATACGTACAAAGGTTTACCACAAAAAATGAGGTGTAATTAGTCCTTGGGAGATTGCCCATGCAGCATTTCTCCCACACCATATACTGTTTGCAGCCTACAATCACCTAACAATGATACTACAAGTAAACACTGGAAGTTGAAAATGGGACTAAAGAAATGGTGCTACCTTCAAGTTGTGAAGAAGACAAACAAATTTACAATTTGAGTTGTCAGGTCAACTCAGCAGGAAGAACTTTCTGACTCCAAACTGATGAGCAGATACAGTTTCATAAAGATGAAGGTAAATTTTATGGAGGTAAAGAAGGTGATAGCAAGCAAACAAAACAGAAGACATTAATGAAAACCACATCCTCTTTTTGTAGTGTGAATACTTTTTACTCAAAGATGATGAGAGTAAATCCAAAACAAAGCTGCATGAAGACTCTCATGTCAATAGTTTTATATCCTGCTCTTCTGCCCATACCAGCTTGTCTGTGGATGGGGCTCAGAACATTTAGGCTATGGTTTGGAGAAATCTAGCCAAGGACAAGCAGCTCTAAGGATTGCAGAATATCTGACCCTGTCCATGCCTCAAGCTTCAAGGGTACTTGGCCTCAAAAATGACCAATGCACTTAAGCAAAGCTCAAACAAAAGCTGTAATAAAGTATAGGCTTGAGGGCTGACAAAGTGAATGAGTAATGCCTTGACTTTGAACAGGCTGGCAGAAGGGACTTCTAAAAGATGGAGAACAAAACTCTAGAATGTTACCATATAATTGACACAGAGAATGCTGCACCATGAAGGTCGGCAGCAGCTTAGTTAAAACTGACAATAAGGCTTGTCATACCTAGGGGCTTTTTGCCTCAAACTACCGCCACTTTTGTAAATAACTCAGTTTAATCCTTTAATCCTGCATGCACACACTCACACACGCTGTTTCAAGGAGTGAAAAAACAATAGCAAAACAACAGTGGGTTTGATTTTACATACATGTATATAGGTTTGAGAACGTACTTAGAGCAATGGCATTATTTTGACAAAAGATACTAGCTGCATTTAAACATTTCACTAGTAGCAAAAATAGGGGGAACTAATTTGCATATATTAATAAACAAATCTCTTGATTATTAGATGGGAGGAAATTATGCAAGAGAACTAGTATTTCTCATCACACTAAAAAAAGCCCAACGTGTGAAGGAAAGTTAAAAGCAAAAAGCTGTTAAATATTGTACAGATTGCCTATAATATTTGGAGTTATGAGTAAACCACTTATTTATTGTTAATGGCTCCTTCCTCTTTAGAGAAGCTGTACATTCATCATTTTGTGGAGCAGATACTTTCCATAGAAATAGAGATAAGGTATTTAACCATTGTATATGCAGTGTAATTGCACATGTATGAATTGCTTCATGACATAACTACAAAATAGCTGGGTTTACTGTTGATCATATAGTATCTAAAGCAATTAGCTACAAGAAGTGATTCACAGCAAATCTAGAACAAATTAACTGATAAGGGAACAGCTGTAGAGAGAAAAAAATGGGAAAAAAAAAAAGAGACATCTGATTCATACAAAGTTTGTTGATAAACACTGTAATAAATAATAAGACATAAATAAATACACCAAGTCCCAGGGAGATTCCACATGTAGCTCAAAAGCTGAATCACAGTGGTTTTTGAAAAGTATATGCAAACATGTACAATACTCACTGGATTTTTGTAACTAAACACTATCTTTGTTCAAGTTTCATTCAGACTCTTCCTAAAACTGAGAACATTGTCATTTAACAATTTAAAGAGTCTTTTATATTGATTTCTACATTTGTTACTTCTAAATTGTAACTTCATTAACTGAGAAAATAGTCATATAAATTGCTGAAAATTTCTGATTTAAATTCTAATTTCCACTGACTATTGTCATGCATTTAATAGAAAGTATTTTTCATGTGGATTTATATCAATGTTTTCACATAAAGTAAAATTATGCATTAGGTCTTTATAACTCAATTATTAATGCTTCTCCTGAATTATGGTGCTCAGTAAACATCAAAGTTTAGAAAGTTATAAATCAATAATGACACACAGACCCTATTCTATGCAAATTTCAATATACCCTCATTTCTAATGATTTGGATTAGATATACTTACACATAAATAATCAGATTTCTCTGTTGCTAAAGTAGTTTCACTTTACATTTAAATATCATGGTTTTAATTACTTAATCTAACATGATGAAAATGGTCCGAGATTAATTTCCTTGTAATGCAATTGGATGAACTAATCAGTAACTTCTTACCTTCATGCTTATATGTCATTTCTTGGCAGCCAGAAAAATACAGGCACACCAAAGCACAGAGGCAGATAAAAAAAGAAAAATATAAAACAAGAAATATGAACTCCATCACACCAGTGAGCAGGCTTTCCTCTATCACAGATACAGCTTATTTATTAAAGTTTAAATAAAGAAACAAATCTGTAGAGTTCTGCAGTTGCCAAATAAAATGGGCAATTATGGCTTATTTTCAAATGAATTACTCCAACAGCCATGGAATCACTGTAACTCCATTCTACAGGTCAAAAATAAACAAAACTCCAAAAAGACTTTCCAGAGTTTCTTGATTATTTCACTTGGTTATTTCGAGATTAGAAAATGCAAAAAGAAAAAAAAAACCAAAAAACAAACACAACCAAAAACAAAACACCAAACCAAGAAATTAAAAAAAAAAACACCCAAAAACAACACCTGTAAAAAAGCACACTTTAAAGAGAAAAGGAAGGTTCACTTTTGGTCCATCTCTTTCCTAATAAGTTCAGTGACATATTAATATATTAAAAGACACAATTAAAAAATCTCTATTAGCTTAGATTGCTTCACTTCAGAGTAAACAATCCTACGGCACCTGACTATACAGAGTCACTGTGATACTCATCGGAGTATCTCACAACCACAGAGGTTATAAAGACCCATCCCGCTACGCTGCTCCTTCCCTTGGGGAACCTGAGCCCATTGCCAGCACTCCTGTGCCCCTTGGTAATTAAAAGCGTGCTCCATCAAAGCTACACTAGCAACAGTAACCTAGTGCACCTACAGAGCCAGAAATAACATAGACATCTAATTGCAAGAAAAAAAAAAATAATAATCCTTGGTATTTTCCAAAGCCTCTGAGCTGATGTTATTTCGGCTCAATCGGGCTGTAAAAGCTGCTGGACTAGCCTGACAGATCATTCACACAAGCTGTCTTAAAGATGGAGAAATGCATGCCATGGATTCTGTTCCAGCTAACAGGAATCGCTGTCAGGAAAACACACATATTCGAACAGAAACACAGACACTGTCCCGTCAGAGTACCTTGAATATTAAGGAATCTGGAGTGTAAAAGTACCCGTTTAGAAGAAGCTGCAACAGTAGATGAAAGTTAAGTCTTCACCCCATGCACCAAGTTCCTGTTTATTAGAACAGAAAAGGAACCTTTCTATACCTTTTAGTCTGAGCTTATCTGACCACATGCATGAGACCTAATTCTCACCAGTTATTTCCTTTTCAACTTTGTCAAGGGAAGTGGGACACAGCTGGAAACAGATCAAACTCCAACAGCCCAGCTTGATGGTTCACTGTGCTAATGCTATTTTTACATTTAATGAAACTTAGAAAAGTAAAGCCAAAGATTTACATCAGTAACTTCTCTGAGTGCTTGGATAGGACAGATACACCCATATTTTCCTCTACTATTATATATAGTTTATCATCTGTGTAATATAAAAATCCTGCACAGATCATAGACAGAAATATGTGCAATGTACATGTCTATATATAAAGCATCTTAGACTGCCTTTATAGTCCATGGAGAGAAATAGGCAATTGTAGGACAAAACTCACAAAGCCTGTTTAGATACCTACTTCCAGAGAACAATCATCACATAATGTTACCATTCTGTCCAGAGTGAGATGTCTATATCTCACCTCTGTTAATGACATCTACCCAAGCATTGCAAATGCGTAGTTAGACGAATTCTGCTGTTTTCATCTGAATTCCTGAGATAGGCTGTAAAAATAGAGAGGATGAAGATGGTACAATCCAAACAGCCCGTCTGAGCAAGCAGCACCCTCTATATAGATTCTTTAAATTTAAAAAATGTTGGAAAACTGTGGGAAACACAGATTTTGAGGATTTTGATCCTCATAAGACACACAGGTGACCTAGAAGGAAACCAGCCTGCATGCCAGCACTGGATTTTTAGAAGCTAACAACAGTATTTAAACTCCAAGTCATATATGCATATACATGTGAATAGTCTACAGGTTTAGAAGATGGCAGGTAATAGGATACTAATAACAACTAGTATAGTATATAAATAGTTTACATAATCCCATTCATCTTTCTCTCACAACTTTCTCCCTCTTTATCACTTGTTTTTGTTTTATAGTCCTGCTTTTCCTTTGAGGAGATAGCATCAAATATACACATATATTTAATTTTATGTCCTGTTTTTAAACTCAGTCTCAACACACAAACTTCAAGTATACTACACCAGAAAAAAACGGTTCAGGATTACTGTAAACATATTCGGCATCTATCAGCCTTCCATTACATAACAGAAAAATGTATGCAAAATTTATAGTTACTTCTGAATGTCTTTTTTCATATGTAAAAGACCCATCATTATTAGAAGCATAATTTGCAGAAGTTACAGCTGAAACAGAGAACCCCAAAGGTTAAATCTTTCAGAATGCATGTATTACAGAATGCAGAGCAATAGAAAAGCACCACCTGGAGGTCACTGGGAATATACTATGCAGAACACGCTGACAACAAGCACCCATTTATGACAAAACGTATCTTAAGCTACCATATAGATGTCATCTCTAGCTTCTTCACTTCCAGTTTTTCCCTTCTTACCCCATTCCCCTCCCCTCAATCTCTCCAGGCTGCTAATGCTCAACATCACAGAAAACACTGTTCAGCAAAATTAATTACTTTAAGCACATTACAAACATTTTTTGTTTCTACAATCTAGATTTTTCTCTTGTACTTTGTATTCTAGAGCAAAACAGTTACTAGAGAAATATAGAATCTTACTATTTATGTATCATATACAGAAATATTTCGCTAACATGACTAGCATGAGTTACAGCTTTCAATTACAATAAACTTGGTATGAGTAGATCAAAGGATGTATTTTCTTTAAAAAGGACTGGATATTTGTCCTTTGAAATGTTAGTTGTTTCAAGTCATTATGTCATTTAGGCCTCAAGACACTTGAATATTTAGGCCACAGTGGCTAAAAGTGTATTTACATTGTTTAAAACAAAACCCAAAAATACACAACTTGTGTGCAGCACAAAACCTGCTGCCCCACAATTATCCTAAGAAAAAGTTAGTAAACGTCCACCAGAGAAAACAGGACAAATAGATGAAATTTCAATTATACGAAATTTTACCATTAACTGAAGTAGAGTTTTAATTGCAAGCACTTTTTGAAACAAGCACTGTTCACAACAACAAAAAAGCATGGAAAACCAAACGTTTGCTCACCTTTGGAGGCTTCAGACTTTTCCTCTTCTGTTTTTTAGACCGCAATAGCCGTTCCCTTTCCTAGAAGAAAAGAGAACATTTTGGTATGGATTTCTTCTAAAACATTTAGATATATCTAACACGAAGAAATATCATTAACATTTTCTTAAAACCTATGTTAAAGCTAACAAAAAGACAATGTCTTTATGCTTTTAAATAATGCCATGTTGATATAACACCATGCTGTACTGCAGCTTTATCCCTTTAGCAAACAAACCTTCAGTCATATACTTTACACACTTGATGGAAAGTTGGCGAGAAAAGGCTTTGTTTAATACTGGGCACAGATATCTGACAGTTCTTTTCACTCTTTTACCAAAAAGCTCACTATGGAAACAGAATTCACATTCTCACTCTGATGTTCAACCATCTTGAAGTAGCACGTTGGTAGCAAAAAGTAAGTCCAGCCTCAGTAATTACAAGTCATTATATCAGGCATACTTTGATATACAAGCATGCATATGCAGATTTAGTGTTACATGTGACTTCTCCTTGTAGGGTAAAAAAAGTCTCAAATCCAAAGGCACTCTCAGTTTGTGTCTTTTTTCTACCATGACTTTGGAATAAGATCACAATTATCTATATCATAACAGGAGGAAGTTGTCACTGGGCAAATGAAGTGTTTATGAACATTTAAGTGCAAGAATACTGCTGTGAATTCCAAAGGAGGAAGCAAAGAAGGTAAAAAATGCAAAGGAACGAGCCAAATAAACCCCAACAATGCAGGAAGCAGGTGATCTGTCTCCTTGCCCTTTTGCTGATTCTTCCCTTAGCTCTGTGTCTTTGCTTGCAGCACCTCTATTTTTAAAATCATGATAGCAGTTCCAAGTGCTTCTCTAGCAGTTATTGCTCACTGCATGGTATTATTCTATTCAGAGTTATTTGGTTTACTTTCAGTTCAGAAACTGGACAAATAGGAAGCTCCCAGTGGAAATAACAATAAATTAATTTATCTTTATCAGAACGTTGTTCCAGGAATGAAGTTTTGGAAAATATGAAATAATTCAGAAAAGCACAACAACTTATATAGCACCTTTAATACATGTGGTTTTCAAAATAAGGAGAAGTAATGCCTGCCAAGGCAGAATGAAGCATGTATTTCAAGCTTCACAATAATGTAATGTAATGTAACGTAACACAATGTATTAAGCTAAAGCTGAAACCACACAGTTGAATCTTACAGTTAGAGAAAAATGCTCTCTCCTCAGGTGCCTACTTAAGGCACAGTCTCTGCTTTAACCTGGGTCTCCTGCATCCCAGGCAGGCGTCCAAACAGTTGGACTTCCCTGAGCAAACACTTCCTCGTCTTCTTATTCCCTTGTATGAAGACTGATCAATTTACTGTCAATAATAAATCAAGCTACCAGAACAATAATAATGTCAATTAAAAAACACCATTTGCTGAATCACTAGCAACTTTTGCAGTCATCTGAGTTTATCTTGACAGCTTTCATTTTAAGAACTGACCAGAACACTGCTGTTGTGGGAGAACTCAAGTTGATACGGTGTCAGCAGCATCAAAGATATCCTACAAACAATACTGTTAATCAATTCAGGCGCAGCCCTATTGCCTAAGACTATTGTTCTTATTTCTGTGTATCATATTGGTCTCAGATGGAGTTAAGCTAATTACTTTTGTATTAATCAAGTATGTGACGTGGGTCATTCTTGATAATTATGATACATTTGTATTCTGTAGCGGTGTGGTTTGAGCCAGAAGAGAGCTAAAAAGCATAATGGAAGTGCAGAATCCCACTGCATTCATATTGAAGGCAAAACATCAATTAGTTTGTACTGCCAACCAAAGCAGTATCCTAGTTAACAATTTCACTTATTTCTGTGAGTGAAGAAGTATCTGTAAATAGGAAACAAAGCAAAAATGAAACCATATTTTTAAATATTTATTTATTTTACTTTCACACTAAACAGAAGTTAATACTAGTTAACCAAAGTCAGGATACAATATATTTTCTCAGATTATTGGCTGAGACAGTAAAAAGAGAGTCCCTTTATATCCACTTTACACTGAAATATGCGGTTGTACCTGCCGTATACTGAGAATTTAATATCATGTCATAGTCCCTGCCTGTACAGTTGTATTTGAAAGGTAAAGCAGCACTGCTCTGTGAATCAGACCCTACATCACAGTGTCTGAGGAACATCCTACTGCTTATAACACTGACACTGGGGAATGAATGCAGACATCAATCTCTGGCACTGATTACAGAGAGAAATCCTGGGTCAAAATCTCAGAGAAACTGCCAAGAATAGAGACAGTGCTCCAGACAGAGCAAGAAATACATCTTGTTGGTTTATGGTTTTGGATCTTCTATTTTTATTTTCAATGCTGTATTGAATTATTTAATTTATTTACACAGAATCATCTTAAATTCATTTTATTATTTTGTAGCAGGCAGTAGTGCCATTTGAGATGCTTTAGAATAGTCTGTCAGATGCTGCTCCAGAAGGGCAGGGGTCTCTCAGCAATGATATGTTGTTTCTGCCAGCACCAGAAGGGTGTATCATACATTGCATTAAATAGCACGAGACAACTCCAACACAACTCAAAACAGTCCCGATCAAACAGTGCAAACATCTATGAGCATCATCTTAAGTGGTCTTAACAGTCAGAGGGTAGCAGCTGTGCAATTCTAATCTTAAAATATTCTGCTCCCTTTGTTTGGATGAATCCTACATGTTTCCCTCCATTTGTTAGAGACAGCTAGTATGGGCAGCTCAGTTAGAGATGCTTAGTTAGATGAAACAAATGCCATCCTGCAAGTTCCTTTCCTTTAGGAGAACTTCTAGATCAGGAAAGTGACTGGGTTTGCACCAGGGTCTACATTCAACACATTTCAGTCATTAAATTTTGAAACGTGTCCTTTCCTGCAAGTTCTTCAGTTGTTGACAGCCAATTTTGTAAGTAAGGTGGATGGACTGATGCACTTATTTTCACAAGCAACTCACAATAGGTAAATATTTTATAATACAGAGATTCATACACATTCCAAAGAAATTAATTCAGTCACTGAGAAATAACAAGAACCCTTTGATGCCAAAGAACTATTTCTGTATCACTGCAACAACTGGAGTTAAAATACTGCTCTCAGATATTTAGTTTTCCTATAGATGTGTGTGCATGCACGTGTGTATACCAGTCATAAGCATTACCACTGTGAGATCATCAATAACATGCTGCTGTTCTTTGACTTGCAGTCTAAGGAATTCAATTTCTTGTTCCTCTCGTGTGCTGCTGAGATCGTTCAAAGATGTGTGCCTCTTCAGTGCTGGTTGTGCAGATAACTTCTCTTTCTACAAAAATTAAAATAAAATTTAAAAAATAAAGAACATTTTCAAGTTCTTTTACTGGAACAGTAGAAAAATTCTGTGTGATGTAGTAATCAAGAATTCTTCAGACTCAACAGTGCATACTCCACTACATCAGGCCTCTTCAGAAAAAAAAAAAAAAAATTAGACATTCTGCATGCCTCAGTGTTAATACCTCACATAAGTTATTTTAAAGAACACAGTCTGGGACAAAATTAGCAGTCAGGTGAACTCAAAGATCTATCATAGTAGAGCCTTTGGCACATGCACTCAAATTCAGTTCTGACTTCTAATCAAGAAAGCAGCATTTATTAAAGCTGACTTTCAGTCATACATTTTTATAGCCTCCAAACACATTTTATCTGTCTGTGATCCTTTCCCTTAATCAGTGCGAACTGATGCAACACAAAGCACATGCCACTCTGAATTTAGAGTACAAATATTCAGTTGAAGTGGATGAATTTAAGACTCAGAAATGTCTGTATTAGAGTGAAAGCCTCACAAGTACTTCCACCTCAAAAGTAACTGTATGCAATGTGCTCTTATAACATGATGTCAGAGATGATTTACTTACCAATTCTACATTTTCCCTTGATAGATTTTTTATTTTCTCTTCCATCCTCTGGATACATTGCAACATATCATCATTTTTTTTGCTCATCCTCTTATTTTTTTCTACCAAAGGCTTCAGTTGACTTTCTGTCTCCCGAGAACGTTTCAGCTGCAAATGGCAAAGAAACAAAGTTACCTGTGTTTTAGTTTATAGTTGCAGAAAAGAAAAAGTATGTTTGTTTTCACTTGCCTTCTTCCTTCATTCAGAAAGTTTAGTTCATTTGTTAAGTATCATTTGATATAGACTACCAATGAACTAAGAACTACAGGAGTCCAAACAAATAAGAAATAGCATTTTTGTACAGTCTACAAAAACACGAACTCCTGACTGGACGTTGCTCTTGGAAAACCCTTATGGTGATTCATAAAAGTGTTTTCTTGATAAACTAATTTTGTTGTATATAAGTTTCTTGTAAGCAACTAGGTCTCTAGGGTAGTCATTTTCACTGTCCCTTAGTAGGAGTAAACTCCTCCTACTCTGCTTTAAAAACCCTATATCTGATGTGTAATTAGAGCAATGAGAGTTAGCTGGAGGGCACAGATTCAATCTCAGCGTTCTGCTGACATTTTCAAGCTGCTCAATTTTGTTCCTGTGGTTTAATGATGTTAGGCAATTATGTGAAGAAAATTACTGCTCTTTCTTGCATTTGCGTTTATTCAATATTTCACTCATTTTATTTCATTAATCCTTGAGCTGTTTTCTTTGTAAAAAAATCTATTTTTTCATATCAAAAGATTTTTCAATTTACTGAGTTTTAACTGTAAATGAGAAAAAGATAATCTTTCTCCTGAGGTAATTTCACTGAGTATTTTGTTTTCTGTTTCATTCTCAGAAGAACCACACAAGCTTACTGATATTATGGATTATTGTCTCACACTATGACAAAACCTTCTCTATATCTTTTCCAAAATATATTTCTTATGCCTCTAGGTCACGCACCAACAGCACTTGACTGAGCCACACATGTCCTCCATCTAGAGGGACATTGAAGGATAGATGTTGCAGTACTTCAGCATTCTTCAGGGATGTTTTGAATGACTTATATCCACAGAAAGGATTAGAAGGCTGAATTACCTTGACTTTATATAATGCACTCTTGAAAAAAGGCAAGATGTCCTTGAGAATATAGAGCAAATTAACTGTAGCAGTAGAAGTGGGGGAAAAAAACCCAAAACTACAAACACTCAGCACCTAGGCAAAGTAGGAAAAATGGAGAAGTGTACGCAGGCTAAAACACATGTTTTCTTACCCCATGATTGTTGACGAGGAATCAATTTTGTCATATGAAAGGGCAGTTTAGGCTATACATCTATTTAAAGAGGAAAGGTTTAAAGAAGACACGATTTTGTTCTCAAAGCATCCAATTTTAGTCTAGCATCGTTCAATTGACTTCACTTATCTATATTCAGCCAAAATGTTAGACAAAAAAATTTCAAAGGTAATCACTAAGAAGACATAAGTAAATTATGTCCTTTTATCTTAAAGCAAAGCCTTCATATCTCAACATGAAGAGGGAAGTCTGACAAAGCAAGGAGGAAGATGCTTCACTCATCCATAGGACTGCCACATGGCAAGAGTGTCCTCCCCTTCTGCCCTTACTATACATAATAGCATTACTTTAGAATCAGATACATAGGTTGCCTGAGGGAAAATTTCTATCCGATTAGAAGGAAAAATCTTTTCTTCTGAAACTAGAAAGAGGGCATTACAAAAGGATATGTAAAAATTTTTATTGTTAAAACTCACCTCCCATTGCAGTCAATGGAGTTTTAATGTTAACTGCAGTACAATCAAGTAGAGATGCAGGCAAATTCATTCTTGAAATTCTTGTCATACCCTTTATTTTGTAAGTTACTATCACTCTCCTAGGATAATTTCACCTACTTAAGAGATTTCCCTTGAGTAATGGCAGATTTTTCATCTCCAGCACAAGAAAGCTTTTTTAATGCCTAGCTAGCATAAGCATGTCACAAAACCAATGTCAAATTTCAAAAGGATTAATAGAGTAATTTAAGTGCACAGATTATGCATGTTTTACTCAACATCATTACACAGTGCCACAGGCAAGCTACCAGTCAATTTCATTATGACCACCTCAAAATAAATTATAAAAGTCTTATTTTTCTGGAACAAGAGATATTCCATCCATGTCTTTTATGTTCACAAAGTGAATTTCTATAGAAATCTATGCTATATTTAGATATCATTGATTGACTTAACCAGAACTAATTTGTAAATTATTTATAACACTGACTTTCCAACATTAAATCTTTTGCCATAAAGATGCCCTCCCAGTCACCATCTGTGTTATTACTAATTAATTTACCAGTTCATTTCTTTCATCTGCTAAGAGAGTATTTCTGTCTTCCAGCTTCCTTATTACAGCATTCAGTTCAGCGATTTTTAACTGAAATCTCCGCATATCTCGTTCATCCAAATGCTGCTCCTTTACATCAAAAACATATAGAGATATAAAATTACCTTTTAAAAAATACTTTATTATCCATAAATTTAATATCATGGTTTAACAAGTGGATTGTGTAAATTTAAAATAGACTCTTTACAACAATATCTGGAAAACTTATTTTAATTAACTGAAACAGTGAACAATAGCATCCTCTGGAAATGCTACATGATATACTACATGAAAAGTATCTACTTATGAAACATATGTAAAAGTTAAGACAATTAAAATATAAAAACCATTTTTTAAAGTTAGATAAATAATATTTCACCTATTACTGGTTACTTCTCACGAGATTTATTACTATCAGCTAAAAGTAAAAAAATCTAGTGCATAGGAGAGATTAAAACTATATGGCACAGTTTCTGAAATTATAGTATCTATTTGCTATTGGTTAAAATAGGTCTTAAAGTTCTGAAATAAATAGCTAAGAAAATAGTGGGGTTCACAGCTGAAGCTCACAATGTAAATTCTAGAAGTTCTACATCCACATATTTCTCAACTTTCTTTGAAATTCAAGAGATCCAAGGAGTTTCTAAATCACCAATCACCATCACAGTGCAGTGCAGAGCTATTTACTGTGAATTAGTCCTTCTAGTATTTTAAAAATAGCCACAAAACCAATGTGAGCATCCAAGCAGCAATTATCCTGTGTTGAACATTTGAAGAAAACACAATTTTCTTACCGGGCTTCCCATCAGTTCAGTGATATCCCCCACTCCTGCAGGAAGTTCTCTCTTAGGGCTACTGTGGTATCGTTCTGCTTCCTTCACCTGGACAAGCTGTTCATCCAAAGCCTCTTTCTGAAGGAGCAGTTTCTGTGTATGGCCTGCCTGGACACCAAGGTCTTTCTCCAGAGCCAGAATCACTCTGTCTTTGCCTTTTATCTCATCCATCTGGAAGGAAATAAAGCAATGATGTTTCTGTAACATCTCCAAGTGTTCACTGCATGCATATCTACAAATTTGCAAAAACAAAGTTCTGTTTCTTCCAGAACTATACCAGCATCCAAACTGTGGTTGCTAAAAAAAAAAAAAAAAGGATGCATCTCCTCTGAAGCCTCTTCCCCTCCTTGTAAAAAAGTTTCAGCCTTCACTTCATCATGAGTTTTCTCAGTGAAGTCTCAACTCAAGAGACAAAAACAGATGCAAACATACACTGAAACAGAATACACAGCCACTGAAATGATCCACTTCATGTGAGGATACACAATTCTATAACCAGAAGGAAAAAATCTTCCTTCACTACATTTCAGAGAAGACACAGGGCTAGTACAAGATAAGACAAATGCACTCTTTAAAACTCACCTGGTCTTTGTTTTAAAGCTTGAGCCATACACATTCGCCCCATGTTGACTCTCCTTTTTTTTAGTGAAAAGCACATGTGGTGAATCTCTTCACAGACATTTAAAATTAAGTAGCATATACACGCACAAACATTTAAACTTAAAATCACAAGCATACCTATGTATTTTATGTGACCTTGTTATAAGATTCAAACGAGGACTAGTCTTTGTATAGAAGGAAAAAAAGCAAATGCACACAGAGCATTAGAATAAAGGGTAGGAAGAAATAGTTCTTAAACGCCATCTATGGTTACTGAACTGTGTTGTTCATACATCTCCATACCAAATAAAGCATACTGCTAGCAGTGATCTATTGCAGCTCTCATAGGATTTGTCCCTCACAGCATCAGTGTTAAATTCACTTTGGTACTATTCCAAATGCTAGAGGAAGTGACAATCTGCCGCAGTTACTATAGAAACAGATTTCTTAACAAGAATGTTAACCATTAACAATATATTTATTCGACCTGTGCTGCATCTCCTTCAGTTTACTAAATTGCTTTCCTGGACAACATAAAATCATGGAATTTTGGAAATAAGGCTACTATAGTCAAATAAAATAATGAAGCTGTTAAATCATACATTTATTCTTTCTTATAGTCCTACAACCACAAAGTGTTTCTTGTCAAGATGCACACACAAAAAAAAAAAAAAAAAAAAAAAAA